ACACACACACACACACACACACACACACACCCGCGCTTATTACTCCAGCTGCCAGCCAGAGCTACATGGCCACTGCTGCTCTCTGACTGTGTTCTTTCTCTTACTCCATTTTTCTGTAAAATCTCCTGTAGCAACAGGGGCACAGAGCTCTGCTGAATGGGTAGAAGCCGTTGTTGGTGATTTTACAAATTGAACCACTAAAAAGGGGATCTTTTTCCTCGTTCTCATGAAGTGAAAGTAATTTAAGAACTGATGCCACGTTTTCATGGCCAGGGCCTTCTCTCTCTCTCTCTCTCTCTCTCTCTCTCTCTCTCTCTCTCTCTCTCTCTCTCTCTCTCTCTCAATCTCTCTCCTTTTTATTTTTGTCTTTGATCCCCGAGTCTGTTTTGGAGTAGCCTGACCAGATTTACAGGGCTGTTGACTCACAATTGAATCAACTTCACGCTGTGGATCGAAACGATCTCTAATCCAGTTTCACAGTGCAAACCCATCAACAGGAAACCACTTGGCCCTAGTAGGTGATATTTTTGTCTTTAAACGTTTATCTATACTTCTCTATGTTTTGAAATTGACAGAACCTTTTTTTTTAGAACCGGATTTTGGAAACATAGGTTTTCTTAATGAAAGTAAGCAATTTTTCTAAGCACTTTAGCAAGATTGAGAAAGCAGAAGCAAGGGAAACATCTAAGGGAGAAAGATGTTCTTTAGAATCATCCTGAGTGACGTAACCCAGCCCCACAAAGACAAACATGGTATGTACTCACTCATAAGTGGATATTAGCTGTAAGTAAAGGACAACCATGCTACAATCCACAGACCCAGAGAAGCTAGGTAACAAGGAGGGCCCAAGGGGTGGGGCACATGGATCCCCCTGGGAAGGGGAAATAGAGCTCTGATTGGACTGGGAGCAGGTAGACATGAGAACTTGAGGGATCAGGCTGGGAGGTGAGTGGAGGGGCACAGTGCTAAGAAAGAAGACTGGAAGGGAGGCTTTATGGAGTCGGGTAGAAGCCTGATGCAAGGGAAACTTCCACAAGTCTACAAGGATGGCCCCAGCTAAGACCCCCAGCAGCAGTGGCTGCAAAGCCTGAACTGGCCATCCCCTGGGATCGGATTGGTGACTCACCGGGTTGTCAGTTGTCATCATCAGAGAGCCTTCATCCAGTGACTGATGGAGGCAGATTCAGAGACCCACGGCCAAACATGGGAGGCCCGCCCCTTCCTGAGCGATTACGGAGGAGGGGCGGGTTGGAGGGGGCAGCAGAGGGGAGGAGGCTGCAGTCGGAATGTAAAATAAATAAATAATAAATATAAATAAATGAATAATGAATGAATGAATGAAAAGACTCCAGCTGCCCCACGTTTGACTCCCGATTCTTTCTCCTGCTTGGTTTTTCTCGTTCGTCTATACACTCCAGCCATGCTTACTCTTTCTTCCATACCCAGGCACCAGTTCCAGGCAGAGCAGCGACAGGGTCCTGGGGAGGAAGGACCAGGGGATCAGAGCTAAAGATGACAGACCAGGTAAGCTCAGGAGGTCTTGCACAAGCTGCGTCTCATGCCAACTGAGCTGATTAAGAAGTACAGCTCTTATATGCTATTTCCAGGGAAGAAATGGGACAAGGTCAGAAGAAACTCTCGTGGGAGGCAGTCAGTGGGCAGCTAATCATGTTGGCTGCATCTCAGGAACCTTGCAGACAGTGTACATGGTGGTCTTGGGACCAGAGCCCCCAGTGGAGATAGAGAAGGATTCCTACCATCAGAAGCCATAGCTCTCCAAGACCCCAGGCCACGACTGACCCTGCTCAGCATGTTCCAGATTTTAGAGAAGGAGCTATGTGTCTTCTCTACACATCCGGGCCTCAGGGAAAGCCTTGGACTAGCCCAGGTCTCAACGGGAAGGGGCACAAAATCAATCTTAGCTCTTAGGTTTGGGGTTGAGTAACTGAGTACAGGGTGGTGGTGTTTCTCAAGACAAGATTGGGGAAATTAGAACAGATTTGGAGAGCAAAAACTTAGAATTGATGTTTTTGAAAAAATATTGCCCCTGAGGTGCTTTGCAGATATCTGAGTCAAACTGTCCTGTGCACCTGTGAGTGTGTGAGTCTGGGGCACAGAGAGTCAGAAGCAGAATGTGCACATGTAAGTGTCCTGGCTCCAGTCATCGTCTAGAGACGGAGGAAAAGGGGAAGAACTGAAGGCAGCATTCCCTAGCCAAGAAGTCAACAAGGACTCGCCACTACTGAGTTGGATGGAAATCCGGACTGGGTGTGTGCATGTCTCAGAAGACAGAAGAGGTAGTACTTACAAGTCATGGAGGGAAAACTGAGCCCAGGACCGATGAGAGCGACGCCAGAGGCAGACAGATGTGTGACCTTGGAGGTCTCTGTGACTGGAGCTGTTGGACAGCAAAGGAAACAGGGTGAGGGAGCTGAAGGAGCGGTTAGATCACCCTCCGCCAAATGGGGTGATGCCTCACGCCCCAGTGCTGAAATGAGTGATGTTCTTAGAAGTTCGTCTTTTTTTTTTTCCAAAACAGAATGGCACATATAGAACAGATACACAACAACAAAAAGACGCTGTAAAAATTTCATTGCCACCCACGCATCTCATAAACTGTGAAGAGCCATGAAGGAGCTCCTGAATGACCGGCATTAATAATTTTATGGGGCAGCTCTCCAAGACATCCTGAAAGAATAACTAATAAAAGCAATTGTAAAAAGCTGAACAAAAATAGAAAAACTGGCTGGGAATAAATCATGCCTGGTGAATATCTTATGTTGTAATGCTACGGAAACAACCATAAACACAGGGCGATGACGTCTGTGGTTACCAAATTCCTAGTATAACAAACCCCATAACTTGCAAAACACTTGTCAAGAACTGTAGCCCACTTTTATGGGACTTGTCCACAAGTGGCTACCGAACTTGTATCGTGTGTTCCATTTCATTCCACAAATGTTTTTAAGTGAGCAGATAGGAAGGACTGACTTTGCTGCTGAAGGAGACAGAGATGAGTCACAAGCAATCCATGCCTTCAGAAGCTGGCAAGAAACCTTTCTGCCACCAGGCTGGCTGCTACAGCATTAAGGACAGGGACTCCTTCTGTTGGGGCTGAAGTCATCTACACACGGCGGTTGAAGGCGGTCAGTGTCAGGGATGTGTGGGTAGAGTCAAAAGGAACGTAATGAGCATATTGAGCACACAGCTAAATAAACAAATACGTTAGTAAACAGACATTTTAGAATACGTTGGGATAAATAGGAAAATATGAGCAAAGGGTCATTAGGTGAATACTGTCCAAAAAAAAAATTACTGAAAAATCGTGGCCTTGAAGGCTTGTTAGATAGACTTTCAGCAGGTAGAAGGAGATGGAAAAATACACTGGTCACAGAAATGAGAGGACAGGGCTTCCATAAGGTGTTTAATGAGAAGGGTCCTTGGGTTCTTGAAAAAAAAAAAATCCCTCTGTGCACAAGGGTGTCCTTTTCACCCATAGCCCATACTCTCTTGGGTTCATGTCTTACCACTGAATCAAGTGTTCTGTAGGCACAGTGTGTATGTATGCCCAGCTTGGTCTGCAGGGGGGGAAGGGTAGAAGTATGGAGGGGGAAGGGGGGTGGGGTGGGAGGAGCTCTATTTTCTTTCTCCTCTGACTGACATTGTCTTCTTCCGAAGGAACAGACAGGACCAGGTCACCTGGACATTTTGTACAAGAGTGGTACCACCGCTGCCCCAAAGCAGTCTTCAAGTAATGCGGATGGCTCCTGAAGACACTGTCTAGTTATCCCCGGGCTAGAAAGACCTTTCGGCCCTCCGAGCTCCTTCAAGCTTCGAAGCGCTGGAGGGCAATGCACGCACTACAGGGCAGAGATAGAGCGCCAGTGCCACAGAAGCCCACCATGGCCACAGTCTCCTCTCCCTTCACAGGGCTCCTCCCAGGCTGTCACAGGCACACACCTAACAACACAGAAGTGTCTGCTCTTTGTCTCCACCCTTCCCCCTTGCTGGAACACAGCACTTCCTTTCCACTCCAGCCCCGACTGTCTTGGGAGTCCCGTTGGCTTCGGATTCAACCTTCTCCTTGCGTGCACTTCTCTGCTTGCCTGGACTCTGGCCTTCTCCAGGTCTCCACCCCTACTCCCCACTTTGGACGCAAGATCCACCAGTGTCAGGAATGTGGCCAGCACTTGGCCGATGGGATCCGAACTGCAACAACGATGAGAACCGCCGGGTTCTGTCCAACCTCCTGGGTTTGCACACGCACATGGTCCTTTCTTGTACAGATCTGGAAGCACCCTGCTTGCCTGGTCTCAGATCTCAGTGTGGTTGACATGGCCTCTGGGACTCTGTATTGTTAATACTTAATGTTGTGCCACTGTGAACCAACTATCTGACGGAAATAATCCAGTGTGGGGGAGGTTTGTCTCCGCTCACTGTTTCAGAAAGATACGGTGCAGCCTCTCAGTCTGTGGCAGCAGGAGCCTGGTAATGCAAGAACCAGGAAGCAGAGAGCTGCAGGAGTTGGGGACAAAGTATCAGAGTCCCCCAGCATCCCTGCCTCTTAAAAGCTCCCCAAGTTCTCCAAAATTGCACCACCACCTGAGGAGCAGGTGCTTACCACATGGGAAGACCATTTCAGATTCAAACTAAGAAAATGCCCCCTCCATGCGCTATCCTCCCCCCCCACACCCCCCACTCAGCACCAAGACAAAGCCACTGTTTCTGTCTTCTGGCCATGTGACCCAGAGCGCATTGACTGCGCTCCTGTTAACCTGCTGGTATCCCCCACTAACGCCTGTGTCAGATCAGCATGGGAACCTTCTTGCCTGGTTCTCTGCTGACTTCCCCAAACCTGGCAAGCCAGAGCGGAGAGGTAATTCTACTCTTGGAGACCAGCCATTGTTGAGTGATTTCCCTTTGTTGTATCACAATATTCCTAGAAGAAGCATGTTCTAGCGTTCAGAGAGGCTGCCTAAGGTCCCACAGTGGGAAAGGATGCATCCAGATGATCAGCTTTCCATTTCCGCATGCTTAACGCCCTGCTCCATCCGGGCTTCCATCTGAGAGGCAAAACCACCAGGGATGATTCCAAGTGATTTGTCTTTAAAGACTGGACTTGGTGCCATAGCAGGAACTCCTTAAATGCTCCACACAAGCCTGTTGCTTCTTTGTCTGCTCCCAGTCAGCCTGGCAAAGAGAGCTGGGCATGAAACAAACATAAAGAGAAACCCAAGTCACAGGGATGAGTGGCTAGGACTCTCCATGGGCCGGAAACCATGTTGGCCTCTGTCCATCTCCAACCTCCATCTGGATGTAGCTTCCAGGAGCTACAAGGCCACTTTGTCGAGAGCACACACACCTCAGCCCAGGGTCCCAGATGCTGAAGGAAGTCCGGTAGGATCTGCACGGCTGCCACCCCACACCAACCAGGTAAGGCAGTGGTCCAGCCGCCCCAGCCCCAACACCCTGCACTGACCCTGGTAATAAAAAGAGTTGACACAGCACCCCCACTTCCCAAACCACAGGCACAGTGGGTTTTTTTTGTGAAGCAAACAACACACAACTCTATAGAAAAGAGAGTTCTGGAAACCCTAGTTCCTGTTAACTAAAGAGATGCAGTACAAACCTACTTCATTCTCTTTTCTAGGTTTTTGTTTTGTCTTTGGGGTGCATGAGTACATGCGTGCGTGCGTGCGTGCGTGCGTGCGTGCGTGTGTGCGTGCGTGTGTGTGATATTTGAGACATGGTCTAACTTTGTGGCCTTAGATAGTCAGGAATGTGCAAGCTAGACCAGGCTGACCTTGAACTCACAGAGACCCACCTACCTCTCCTTCGAGTGCCGGGATTAAAGGTGTGCACTTCATCCCCACCTTCCCCTTCCTAGTTTCTTTACTATTACAAATTAAAACAAGATTTCCTCTCCCTGATACCCAATTTTAGATCATTGATAGAATGCTATATAATACATTAATCTTCTCAATAACTAAATCCATGACCAGCTGCTTCCCATAACTCTGAAGGGGGCAGGTTTGGACCTTCGTCAGTTTTTCTTAGGTTTGCTTTTTCTGGGACCACCCAGGAAACTGTCGCTGCAGTTTGATTCAGCTGAATAGTCTGAACCAAAGAAGTCCCTGGAATTCTCCAGAGCTGGGATTTCCACAAAGAGCACTGAATTGAGAATCTGGAATGTCGACAATTCGGAGGGATGTAAGAGAATGTGACAGACACCAATTTGTTTTTTTCCTGCATACAAGGCATTCATTGACCTTCTGGAAACACACGCCTCAGTTTCTTTTGGCGGCACCAGATCTTCCTCCAATTATGGTCCTTTTGGTTTAAAAGCTATCTCCCTTTCTGGTCCAGAAGTTAGCAAGTCCCAAGCCAGAGAGTACATACATAGTACCCACGGCCACGGCGATGGGCCCTCCACAGCCCCACCTGATCCAGCGAGTCCACGGTACCCACGGTGGGGTGGACACGGGTACAGGGTACTTGGCAGTCCCATCCAAGCCAGTGAGGCTTCTTCTGGAACTTTGATTTGAGGAAAGTGAGCACTCCTGAGGCTTGAGCCTAGGTCAGCCTGGCTGAGAATGGAGCCAATGCAAGCTGAGTACCCCATCCCCACCCCTCCCAAAGGCTCATCCCGAAGTCAGCTTCCCATTAGACTGCACAGTTGCTGTGTTTACCCATGTTCTCTTACCTGAGCACCCGCAGCATGTGAATAATCCCACAACTTAACACACTTCTCAAAGCACCTGCTGCCCAACCCCAACTAATAACATTTCCTGATGGCGGAGCATATTGTTAAATGCTTTACATGACAAATGCATTTAACCGCCCCCCCAGCATCCGTATGATATAGATGCTGTCAATCACCTGAAAACAAGACATTACAAGCTTAGATATATGCTAACTGGTGATACATAATTACAGCTCTGCACACCAAACCCATGGTCATGTCCAGCTCTCGTGTTTTGAATCCTTATCTATTTAACTCTACAACCTGTTCTCAAAACCAGAGTGGCTTCCATTATGTGCAAAATAATGTGTTAGCCAGATGGAGGATACGGTGATTAATAAGCCTGTTTCCTGCCTTTTGTGCCTGACCAGTTGCTAGAGGGATGTGTGTGCCCACAGACAACTACTACCTTAGCCTATCATCACTGAGACCAATATCTGACAGAACCAACTTAAGGGAGAAAGAATTTCCTCTGCTCACAACTTCAGAACCTTCCTTCTACCATGGTGGGGAGAAGGAGGTGGAACAACCCCCATCATGAAGGACAAGAGGCAGAACTAAGTAATATAGGAAGGAGCCAAGGTACTGTCAAGCCCCTAGGTACCTACACCCTCCAGTTCAGCCCCATCCACTTTTCACTATCTCAACAATACCGCCGTATTTGTGGTGGTCAGTATTGTCAATTTGACAGAATCGCCGAGCATTTAGAGTAAGGAATTCTTGAAGGCAAAAACAACATCTTGATATCTCTCTTGGCAGCTACAGGGGGTGGTGGGGTGGGAAGGTTGTGCAAGCAAGCAGTTAAATGCAAGCTAAGATAAGCAGTTAGTTGGAGGAGGGTGTGTTCTGCACAAGCAGGCATTTTAACAAAAGCTAAGATAAGTTATCTGGGACATCTTGACCTTGGAATCCTAGAATAGAGTTGGGTAATTTTTGACAGGACTTACAATAAAGGAGATCAAATTGTAATTAAACCTAATGGCCTCAGCAAGAATACAAGATGGAGAAACCTTTGCATTATCTTGCCCAGCATAATGTTAATTGAGATAGGAAGGCCCATCTTATTTGTGAATGAGGATGTTTCCTGGTCAGGGGATCCTGGACTGTATGAAATAGAGTAAGTGAGCTGAGCAATAACAAGCATTTAGGGTTCTCTGCTTCATCTTAACTGTGGATACAATGTGGCCAGCTTCTTCAAGCCCCTGTCCTGTAACTTCCTCGCCATGACCAACTGTAACCTGCAACTGTGGGCCAGAATAAACCTTTTGTCTGGTAGTTGTCTTTGGCAGGGTGTTTCATCACAGCAACAGGAGAAAAAACTAGGATAGTATTATAAATCCATGCCACGATTAATCCATAGACTAAGTCAGAGCCAGGACCTTTAAAGGGGGCGTGTTTCCATCTGCAACTCTACACAACTCACAGCAGCAGTGGAGATGCCCTGCACCTGGCCATGGTGGGTGATGATGTAACCTACGGCTGCCGCTGCCACCACCAAGTCACTGAAGGGCAGAATGGCGGGGTGCCAGTTTACAACAATAACAGTTTGGGAACTGTGTGATGGTTACGATATGTCAGACTGAGCCTCCTAAACTCTTTACATTAACTTATTTAATACCTGCAATACTGTATGATTCCTAAGTCCTATAAAATCAGTATCACAATTCACTCCATCCTATAGATAAATACCTGGAAGAACATAGAAATTAAATGACTTATTCAAAGCCAGGCAGTTAGAAACAGAGCTGAGGTCTTGCCTATAGCAGCATACTTCCATTGGTTTGGCTTTTAACAATGACCTAAAGGCTGTCTTAGTTAGGGTTTCTACTCATGTGAAGAGACACCATGACCACGGCAACTCTGTTAAACTCAATTGAAGGAAAACATTTAATTGGCTGGCTTACAGTTCAGAGGCTCAGTCCACTATCATCAGAGTGAGACATGGCTGCATGCAGGCAGACACGGTGCTGGAGAAGGAGGTGGGCATCCTACATCTTGCAGGCAACAGGAAGTGGTCTGTCTGTCAAACTGAGAGAAGCTTGAGCAAAAGCCCTCCCCCACAGTGACGCACTTCCTCCAACGAGGCCACACCTACTTCAACAAGGCCACACCTCCTGATAGTGCTCTTCTATTTGGGATTATGGGAGCCAGTTACATTCAAACTACCACAGTTACTATGTATAATATGTGTAACTATGCAAAGTTTTAACAATGCACCATTTGGTTACTAAGTATAATTCTGTGTCCTTTCTCAAGTAGCAGTTATCGGCCCCCAGGTATACACTGACCTCTGACAGAGGCTATGTAAGAAACAAAGCAACTCAGCCGCCCGGGCTTTACTCAGGCCCCCTCCGGAACTAAATTAGAGTTTCTTTCAGCTGATGGGCAGATCAAACAGCATCTGAACTTGAACTTTGCTCCACTGCCAGTAGATACAATGTTGCATCTAAGTCACCCCATGCAGCATCAAATGCAGCACAAAGCAATGAGGGTAGATGTAGAGGCAGAAACGGTAATGTCAGGTCAACACACTAACCCACGAAGGCCCACCGATTTCCGATTTCCTAAAGTGGACGAAGTTGTGTAAAGCAGACCTTGGCTCTTGTAGACTGTGAGCTGCTCGGAGGCAGGGATTCGGCCTGTTGTGCTTCCTAGGACCTAGTAAAATACTGGGCACAGAGTAAGTAATAAATAATTAGTGGGTGCATGAGTATAAGAGAGCCAGGGGAGCAGAAATAGGTATACTCCCACAGTGACGTAATGCTGAAGGGAAATGATAGACAGAATGATGACAATGGATGCTTTCCCAACCACTGCTGTCCATCATCATTATTATTACTGCCACTGTTATTATTTTCCTTCACAACTAAGAGTGACATTTTTTAATGACTTAGACAGTACTTTTAATCCATTTACTTCTTCCTGTGGACCATCAAAAAAAAAAAAAATCCAGAAGTCCATCAGAACACAAGTGCTGTCGGAATGCCCCAGAATGCTACTGTACCAACAGTTGCTCACCCAAAACAGAACAGCTCTGTTTGATTTTTGACAGACAAGTTGTATAGCAAACAGAAAACACAGTCACAGTTCTTACAGAAATCCTTCTGAAAGACACACAGCAAAAAATAAATAAATAAATAAATAAAGACGCCAGGCGTTGGTGGCACACGCCTTTAATCCCAGCATCGGGAGGCAGAGGCAGGCGGATCTCTGTGAGTTCGAGGCCAGCCTGGGCTAGCAAGTGAGTTCCAGAAAAGGCGCAAAGCTACACAAAGAAACCCTGTCTTGAAAAAACCAAAAATAAATAAATAAATAAAGACAATAAAAAAATAAAGGAACAACTTTTTATAGTCCTATGACAGAAACAATAGAGCTCTCGTCTTAAATAGAGAGGGCTTGAGTTAAACTATGTTCTTCGAACATCTGCTTCACAGTATTTCCAGACAATGCTGTGGAAGTCAGGGCCAAGACAGCCACTTGGTCTTGATGAGAACTGACTACTTTTCACTAACAACTTTCTCTCTGACCGAAAATCGCCAGCGTTCCGTCCTAGAGCATCATAAAGACACATTCTTCTTTCCTTTCTCTTGAGAACTAACAGATTTGGTTTTGATGGAAGTTGAGATCTGATTTGGGGCCCTCACTTGAAAGAAAAAAAGACAATAATAAGAGTGACCATGAGAAGCGGGCT